TCGCCGATATAGCTTCCTCGCATAAATTTACACCGAAAACATCTTGAATTTGAAAATAATAAATAGTTGCTAGTTGCTAAAAAATGAAACAATGCCCCTGGACAATTATGGGTCAATTGTAATCATGATTAATTATGATTAAATAATTAATTGACTTATTGCCTATTAAACATTTATTCCCCTTGACACAAGCATTTATTTAAAACTAGGAAATGGATTTTAATTCTGTATTTATAAATAAAAAAAATTGTTTGATTATAATTTTGAAAATGTTTTGTGATACAACAGGAATATTAGTATAGTATAGAAAGTTTATCGCTGGTAAATAACAGTAAGACTTTCGTACGTGTCTCTATTCTAGAAATGATCCTACGATGCATGCGAAGTGCTCAGTTTCTTTGGAATCGACTCCGCACATGATAAAAGAACCGGAACAATCTTGACCCCTTCGGCTTCGAGATGCCACAGCTTTTTTAAGTTTCTCTTTAGGTCAGCATATTTATGCAGCTTTTCATTATATTTGCTTTTTATGTTAGAGTTATTTGGGACCGCCGTATCAATTAGTAGAGCTTTCTTGGATTGTTTTTTAATAACTGTAATATCCGGCCTGTTGGGTCTTACTGTCACATCTGTAATGTCTGATTTTCTACAATTGGAGGTGGTTTATACTTGTAGTTTGGCACATTGTTTGAGACTCAAGCTTAAATGTTTCCAGTGTTTCTAAGTAAATTGATGTAGCAACTTTGTTGTGCGGTTCTAGATATTTATTTGTCGCCAGGTATTCACAGCTAGATAATATATGTATCACAGTTTCTTGTTTTTTGCTGCACTTTTTGCACCTCTCTGTTGGTATTTCTTCCTTAAGGATATGCTCTTGATAATTTCTTGTTTTAATAATATGATCTTGTATGCCAATCATAAACCCTTCCGTTTCTGGAAAAGGCGTTCCAATCTTCCACTAATTTACATTTATCTACTGTATCTTTCTGTAAGTCATTAATAAATGTACCATGCAATTCATTTGAACTCCAATTTTGAAGTCTGTCATCGTCCACTTTTGTATAAAAAATTTAGATATGTATCCTGTATCCGCTCTCACTATAGCTTGACGAAGTTCACTGTTTTAGTGATGGAATTTTATTTTAATGCCTATAATTTGTTGACTGTTTTCTCTATTTTGTAAATTCTATTCTTATCTTCCTGTTTATTGATTCGAGATTTATTTGGGTCCAAGTAACTATTCCAAAGGAGTATTGAAGAGTGGACATGGCATAGTATTATGGCTGTGAAAAGATTTCTTGCGTTAAGTTTGCTTTTTAAAAGGTTGTAAAGAGGTTTTTCAAACTCTGATCCATGTGATTATTACTTCTTTATGTTATATTTTGTGGAGAATTCTTATGTACATGTATGGTTGTTCCGTCAAGAAAAAAATCCTCTCCTTTATTAAGTCGGTTTCTGGTTCTCAATGGTTTATATTGATTATTTTATTTTTATTATTATTTCCTAGTGCTTCAAGCTGTCACATCGATCTGTTCACGAGATGGTGAGCTTTCTGATGGCATTGAAAATGCCTGTAGTCCTGCATTCCAAGGATTATCCTCACAATACTGCATATGTCTAATTTCTGAATTAGGAAGTAAAGTTTAGATTGTAGATTTAACCTCTTCAAGCTTTCTTGCAGTGTTTTTTGATTTCGTCTGACGCTCCAATTAGTATTGGAGCCACAACTACTTTCTCCATCTTCCACATCTAACGGTAACTATGTATTTATTTTTTCTGTGTATTTTTTCCCATGTTTTTGGGGGAGGGGTACAGCGATATCTAAAATGTAGCTTATTTTCTCCTCCGTTAAGGTATATTGTTTGGGATTGGGGGGCCGGTAAGAATTATCCTTGCCCAATACAGGCGTTGCCTTCCATCTTCGCAAATTGGTGTTGGCACATATTGATAATACGCTGTTGTGTCTTGTATGTTCATAAATTTGAACCTTCGGGCCTGATGTATTAAACAGCAACTCTGTTTTGTCTGTCGAGGTAGGGTATAGGCGCTAATACCAGAACTTGATCAAAATACTCTTTCTTCTCTTCATACATACGACATCTATCATTCGGGATCTATTCACGCAGAATCTCTTTTCTGTATAATCTGGTGGGTATTACTTGCAATGCGGTTATAAAGCCTTTCGTTTCGAGGTATAAATGTCTCTTTCTTAAATAGGTCGAAGGTACAATAGTGTTCATCTCCTCACTCGCTATAGTGAGAGGGTATCTCTAATGCAACGTTTTGCGTTTCCCTTGGTCTTTAAGTTGCTCTGGTGTCTTCATATTTGCTGTGGGATCAAAGTTCTGATCCAATAACTTCAGTGGCGTTAGATTCCTGTCAGCGCTCACTACTGCCCGATGAAGTTGGCTTGTTTTTGACACTTCATGGAAATATTTTTCTCAGGTTCTGCAGCTGTCGAGCATCTCTGTCAGGGATGTTAAGTATTACTATTATTATTACTAGTATTATTATTGTCATCGGTCTCAGATTTCTCAGATTTCTCACCTAGGGTCTATAGTATTATAGCTTTTTGTGATGCATCAAAGATGTTATTCTCCATGTCTAGTTTCTCCAGGTTTTTCTTGAAATTTTTTGTAACAATTCCTTCCTTTGACATAGCCAACGGACATATGGTTACTTCATTAAGATGCCAGATTTTTTTTAGCTGGATGACCAGATCTTCTAATTTTCGAACTCTCAGCTTCCTTAGATCTCAAATTTTAGGTCAGCGGTATGGCAATATCAATGATTTTCATTTTTTTTTCCTGTTTATTAATGAGGAGAATATCTGGTTTGTTGTGAGCGACCGTTATATCCGTTAGTACCATACCGAGAATTTATATTGTTGATTGTGCCTTCCTAAATAAGCATTACCTGCTAGTGCGCTACACCCACCCGTTCTCCAGCATTGCTGCATTTCCCACATTTATCAATGGTGTTGATTTTCAATATATGTGTTTTTCATAATTTCTAGTTCTAATTATCTTGTCTTGTATTACGAGCATAAAGCCCTCAGTTTCAAAATAAAGATAACCCTTAATGTGACTTCGAGTGTATCGGTTACTATTGGCATATCTAAGTTGAGTGGTGTGAAGTTTTTATCAACCTTTCTTATAAACTGAATGGAAGTTTTACTTATATTTAGAAGCCCCCTGCCACCTTCTTTTCTAGGGATATAAAGCCGCGATGTTAATCAGTTGGGGTGTAAACATCTGAATTTGTTAACATCTGGCGAGTTGCTCAATCTAAACCTTCCAAAATGTTTGTACAAACAGCCTTGTTCTAAGTCCGCGATGCTTTCGAAAGATTCTTCTTCTTAACCTGATGGTCCAAATGACATCTTAATATCGTCACTGAATGTTTTCACGCTAGCAATGAGACTGTTCAGTCTTGCTCGATTTTCTGCATACATTTTAAACCATCCAGGTGGTTTATTTTGGTTAGTTGGTTTAGTTAATTGCCTTTGGGTTGTGACTTGTATCCTATCTAAGCTTCATTCAGAAGAGTTGAGAATGGGTTAAGTGCCAGTATGAACCACATGGATGAAAGAGCCTTGGAAAAGCATCTTTTGATGTTGATTATACCCAGCTTATCACGTGTATTTTTACTCGCCAGTTTTTCATCATAGACTAGAAGACGCATTTTATTTTAGGCTCAATTCTATAGATTTCCAAACATCTCAACAAGGAACCATGTTTGGTGGAATCAAAGGCTTTTTTGTAGTCAATGTAACAAACACATGTAGAGATTACGCCTGTTTGTTTGGGCTTGTTTTGTAATGACAGAATCAACGATTGTTGTTTACAGTCTAAAGCTCTTCTGAAATCAACTTATATGTATCGCAGTGCTCATATAATTTGTTGTTAAATAATTACCTGTATAGTTTATACTATTGTTATTATAATTATTATTATTATTTCTTACAAAACTTCTGGATTCCTCCTGCGTCGGTTTTTTCTAAGTCGAATTTGCGTTTCGCCAATCATCCTGTTGGCTTCTTCAGAGCTTGACTGAAACCGGAAAACGTTTGTTAAGGTGTATAGAATTTAAATGTCTAAGAGAATCTACTGGAAATGCTTGGCAATGAGGCCACATAACATAAGTATCAATTGTGGTTTTAGATGAAAAGTGTCGAGAGCTTTATTCTGAAAGGCTTCCACAAGTATATTCGCGATAACTGGTGACAGTGGAGAACCCATAGCTGTTCCCGACGTTTGTTCAAAAATTTGACCGTTATAAGAAAAACACTTTCCAGATAAGCATTATTCAACCAAGATTAGAAAGTTTGGTTCCGGATTCTCGGATTTCCATGTATCTGAAATAATGTTGAGAGTTTCAGGAATAGAAACTTTGGTAAAGAAATATTCTACGTCAGAACTAACTAGAATATCTTGTGTATCTAATATAATGCTTTTTAATTATTTAATTAATTATTAATTAAGTATAAACCTATGAGTTTTCCCTGTAAAGGGTTTGAATACGGAAGCTGGATATTTTGCTAGAGAATACTTTGTGAATCTTTGGGAGTCCGTAGAGACGTGGAATTTTAGAATCATGAGGGGTGACAGGAAGTTTCTTTTTATTATTATTGTTATTATTATTCTACTATGCTACGAACAAGCGCATTGTAGATCATTTGTAGCGCTCTTAATCTAGTAAATTTGAATGAATTTCTGATTATAAACTCTATAAGGTCTCAGCACCCTCAGATTTTATATAACGTAACCGTTAAAGTCTAACGCAAAAATATTAATTGGGCCGACTCAGGAGGTTCAGTAAACTGTGCAACAACCATTCGCGGCAAATTCCGAACTACAAACGGAAATTAATTGGCAAAATAAAGCAAACATTGTTGCGGAACGGTTTCTTACTTTGCAATCCGTACACGATACACGTCTGGCCTACTACTCAAAAAATCCAATTTCATCGCACTAAATAATTCGCGAATTCTGTTCCAGGGCTCACATGAAATTGACCGTCCGGAACCTCCAAACGGTCGACTTCGGCAACTATCGCTGCATCTCGAAGAATTCCCTCGGGGAAACGGAGGGCTCTATCCGGCTCTACGGTAAATAAAATTCCCTTCTGACTGCTGCAAACGCGAAATTTGTCTTTTCAAAATATCTATATTCCTTTCGTATCAAACAATATTGCACTTTCGTTTGCGCGCAGGGACGGTCCGGCCGAATCCTTTGTTTTGGTTGGCGAATTATTAAAAACCTCCAATACCCTTGATAAAGGATATTGTTCGCATATTTAATGAATGCAAAAATTAGCACTAGAGGGCACTGTTTTAGTAGGATATCATGCACAATTTTAAGAAAAAGTAATATTAAAAGATACATCTCAACTTGAAAGATATTGGATGAATTTTAAACCACTACAGTTAGCAGGAAAATTATTAATTTGAAAAATTTAAATTTTAGTTAAGTTAAGTTAAATCTTAAATTTAAGTTACACTTTTCATATTCGGCCAATTGTTGGTTTAACTGAATACCGATGCAGGGTTAGTTAACAATAAAGTAAATTTCATTATCTCATTGGTTATGAGAAAATCGTATATACAAAAGTTGTAAACATTATTAGGATGCACAATTATTTTTATTTAATTATTTTAAAGTATACATCGTGACTAAAAAAAGCGTGACGGAAAAACATACACACCTTATTGATAGAAACGAATATATTTGGATCATTTTAAATTGAAAAATCTCGGTAGCCCACCATAAATACTATTTTTTGAATGGAAGACCTTACAAAACCCTTCAACTTCTTTTCAGCATGTCATATACTTGCGATTTATTTTAAATTTTTCGTATTAAGTAATTTTTGGTCATGACAAAATGATATTGTCAATTTTTATCTGACAACTAAGTAAATACAAATAAATAAGTCTTTCTCTGATTTTACAATAAATTGGGTAATTAGAAAGTTTTTCGAAAGCTTCGATTTTCTTTTCTTGAATTATATATTTATTAAGAACGAGTTTGCTTACAGATTACGGTATGAATTATAAATGCCTATCGTTGCATCTTTCGAAGGCTGTATTTTACCATCTTTGACAAAAACCCTCAAAATTCGGCTCTTCTCTTCAGAAACGGTTAGTTAGGTTATTCTTTGTTACTTATATGACCAATTTAAATCAATTTGTTCCTTCTTCTGTGTAATAAAGAGCAATATTTTCCAAATCGAAATGTCGAAAATGTCGCACATCGATCTTTGGAACGCATCTGGACTGTTGCCTGATGCAAATGCACATTTTAGAAATTCAAATTGTTCATGTTTTTTAACAAAATTTGTATACTTTCAGGCGTCTTCAATGAGAGGAAGTAATGTTACGATTGAGCTTTCAATATTCACCATTCCATTTACCAGTTTCTCACGATTTTTGGAAGCAATCAGATAATGAACTTTACTCGTTACTCGTTGACTCACCCTGTATATGTAGCGGCCTAATTTCCTTTTTTGTTCACCGGGGGGATATAGTACACTTACCCGGCTCTCTCACTAAAACACTAATGAGACAATTGAGAGGACAGACAGATTCTTTTAAAAAAGGTTTTATAATATGTAAATAAATCGCTTATTTGGGAAAATTAAGGTTTTCTATAGAAATGTGTTTTTATCTACTCGGAATAGAAAAGCACAGTGTCTCAAAACAATGTTTACACTTTATATTGACACTTTTTTATTGTCCAATTTTACAAGTATTGAAATAATGGAAACCGTAAAAAACACAAAATATTATTGATTCATTGTGTCCAAATCATTGTCAGCAGAATCATCATCATCTGTTGGGGTTACGAAAAACTCTGCAACTTTTGTCGCTTTCAACGAGTTTCGTTCTGCCAAAGGTGCTGCCTCTACAAGCGAAGGGCCGACTGATCGATAAATGCCATGAAAAGACATAATATATATACCTAAACGTTCATTGACTTTATGAGCAGTCCTTGATGGTTTTTGCTGAAAGTAGCAAAGCTATATTCTTTTTCCTGTAGATGCAGGTACATGCAAAAGGCAGTGCGACAAAGAATTTGACCACCCTTTTGGTATAGTGTCATGCGTGTCGAACCAAGTCTCGTCTAAGTCATGGACTATACCATCAAGTGCACATTTATGTGTACTCAGAGATAAATGATTTATACTACGCATAACGCAACTTCTTTATGGGAGATATTAGTTGAACATTTTTTTTATTATTAGCATTGCTGCACTTTGTTGTTTCCAAAAGTTTTTTAACCCATTTTGTCCCAGTGGTGCGCTAATGCACCACCTATTCTATGATTTTTTTTGTCAGATCCAGGAAACATTTTTGCACATCCATTTAGAAATTTTATTATTATCACTACTAATGGACATAAAACCGTAGAAATCGCTATTTTATGTGTAAAGGAAAGATCTTATATATGACTTCAAAAATTAACAAATGTGGTACATAAATTTGTATCACATTTTCAAGTAAATCCAAAATAGTAAAAAAAATATATTTTGTATTTGTATTGCTATTTTGGAAATACTATATTCATTATGATTTATTTTTTGGTGCGTGAATGCATCACTGATTTTATCTTTGAAAAAAAATTTTGTTATTGCAAGTCTAGACAAGTCAGCGCATATAGAATAAACATCCAACAATTAGCGTGTTCTTTAGTATTAGTTTGTGCCTTGTGCAGTGAACGTTACAGTTCGTAAAATATGCCATTTCCGAGGTATTTGACTGAAAAGGAATTAGAGACGGCTATGGAGGAGATCGTGATGGATTAGGACAATTACAATGAAAGTCGTAAGTATTATTTGGATTTACGTATTCTTATGTATTGTAGCATTCCATTCCTTGGAAATTTATGCTAAAAATAACGTGAAAAAATATTTACAGAACATATTGACGCCATATTGGTCTATATTCCACCCGACGTGGATACCTTGACTGACGAAGAAGATATATACGAACCTTAATATAAATCTACAAGAGTTTGGGAAACCAACTGATATAGTTGGAACTCTCGAGTTACGTACACCGAATGATACAGCTGCCCTTCAACAGTCCTGTAGTTCATCAACTACTGAACCTGAATGAAACTCATCAGATAATGAAACCCTGGAATTCAAAAGGAGACGTATGCTTTCTGCAAACGACAGGCTTGCTTCTACTGTTAAATGGAAGAAAGGTCAGATTGAGTAGCCTCAAATCTTCGGTAAAATATGCTCAAGACAATAACCGCCATGAATTCTCGTTGTCAAAAAAATGAACTTTTAAATTTTGTAGGCATTTTATTGTTTTCGGGGTATCATTCATCACGACATGTTTAGCATTATTGGTGTACTGATGACGACAAAGGAATTGATCTTACAAAAAACTGTATGAGCCGAAATAGATTCCAATTGATAAAGCAAAACTTGCACTTATCTGACAATAATCTGTTGGATAAAAATGATAAATTTTCAACAGTTAGACCCTTCTTTGATGCCATAAATAAAAAAATCTTCTGTTCGGCATATTTTCGTTCAACTTATCCATAGATGAACAAATGGTACCTTACTTTGGCCGCCATTCCTGCAAATTTTTTATAAGGGGTTGGCTTCAAGCTTTGGTGCCTTTGTTCATGTGATGCGTAAATATTTTCTTCACTTCCATATAATTACAGGTGCCAGGTATTTGGAAAAAAATGGTGGTGTAACTCACTGGATAATTTAGTAGTGAATGCATGGAAATTGTATAATATTGTCAAGAAACAAAAGATTTGCAATCAAGATCACTTCATGATTGTTCATGCTAATAAAGGTCGAAGGAGATGTAGAATCTGCCACAGCCACATAATTTACATTTCTAATAAGTGTAATGTGCATTTACATACTTCTTGCTTTGTAAAATATCACCAACAATGAAACCGGGTGTTACCAGTGGTGCGCTCGCACACCATAAAATATGCGATTTTTTCTATCAAATCAGATTCTCTTAGGAAAACAATCTACTTGTAGTTGTTTTCTGTCGAATTTGAACTTTCTTTAGTACATTTATGTCTAAATTATATGTTACATCATATGTGCCTCCAAACATTATTTCCCAGTGGTTCATTTTTTTTGACACATGTAATGTATTCTTAAGTGCAACAAAATAAATAATTTCAGAGCAAAAAATTATTTTTTTTTTATGCTCGACATACTACTCGACCCTCATGGATGATAATTTCTTGGAAAACGATCAGCGAGTAGGAGGTCTCGTTCTACGCAAATTAGAAGTAAACTGAACAGCGTCTATTCCCTAATGAATACTTGCGCAACGTTTTGACGTAATTCAGTAGCTGGCCATTTAATATGCACATCTCAGATACGGGATCTGCTTTGGGACCGCTCCCTAACGTCTGAGAACGGGTTTATTAAACACGAGCGAATTATGGGAAGCAGTGCAGGTGTAGCGTAGAGCCATACTTGCGGAAGTATTTTCAGATGCCTATTGACCTCGATAGGGGAACCTGGCAAGCGCCTCTTAATTGGCACGTTGACTACCATAAATATTTTATCATATTGTTGTCTTTGTCTTGCTCATTTTTAATTGTCGACAAAGAATTTGTTTTTTGTACTAGTTATATAAGGGTTACTAGCTGACGTGATTGTTACTTCACCATTTAACCGGTGCTGAATGCGTAATTTATTTGCAAATCCATATACAGGGTGAACTACGATATTCGTCTTAGTCTAGGAGAAATGAAAAAAGCCGGTAGAAAACTCTTAGGACAGTATTAGGTGGCTTCATGAGGGCCGTTTTTGAAAATTATTTTTAAATATACAGGGTTGCCCAACAATTCACATATTAGCCTGATATGTTTTCTTTTTTATATCTTTAGTTACTATGGTCTAAATACCTGATCGTTTCATAGGAATTTTGGAAAATTAAAAAATACAGACCGCAATAAAATGTTATATTTTGGTTAGTTAAATTGTAGAAAACAGATCTATTACAACGTGATACCTTGTGCATTTTAAAGGGCATTACTTTTCTGAGTGTGGAAACAAAATATGCCTTGAATTGTATGTAACTATATTAATTATAATATTTATGGATCTTAC